CACGCTGAAAGACGGTTCACTTCTCATTGGTCTCCGTTAGCCAATAAAAAAAGGATAATCTGGTGGTTTTTCATTGGTCCGCTAAGGATGATTAACTGCCCCTTTCATTTACGCAAAGATGAGGCGTGTAATGCGTTTGCACAGGCGCATGCGTAGTTGTGAAGCGTTGCGTTTTTTTTTTTTTCCCCTAGTCCAAAATGGCTTCAGGTTGTTAAAATGGAATATTTTCCCCATTCGTTTAGAAGTACCTTGTAATCCGCCTCGTTTGTGTAATATTCTAGAAAATTCGGACCTAGCCACGTGATTGTTAGCTATCTTATTCCCTCATTCTGCCTCTAAAGTTTTTCAAATCAAGATGAATAAAGTAAAAGCAGGAAAACAGTTACAGACTTAATAGCACTGAAGACTTTTTAAAAAGTAAATGAGCTAGAGCTTGTTGAATACCTTCTGTGTCCCAGGAACTGTGCCATGTGCGATGCACAGAGCGGACATCAAAAGTGATTTTTTAAAGTTTTTTTATGACATTTTTAAAGTTAAACTTATTAATTTATTACTTTAAGACAAGGACTTAAATTTCTGGTTATAGACAGCAAATACCGACTTTTTATTATTTTGTTTGGAGGATGAGCATGAAGCTAAGGTTGTAAGGAAGCATTTCTGTCTTTTTAGTTTTTGTGTCATAGTCCATATTCATTAAACCTCAATTCCCCTATGTAAAACATAATAAAAATCCTACATAGCTGAAGAAGTTTCCATTTATTTGGTCCAGTTTTATCATAGTGGGTTGTAAAACTGGGATAATTTAGAGAAGAATAATATACTCAAGAGGAAAAACACCAACAAAATAAAATCAGTTGTCTATAATTGGATTTATTTCCATGGTGTGAAACATCATATGACTACTCTTTTAGGCCTTGCTGGGAAACACATGCACACACATGCACAGAGAAAAAGAATTTCATTATGTTGGAGAGATAAGGATATGTGTATGGAAGGGAAAATAGCTGGTTCTGAAGTGAAAATATGTGATCTGGAGATATGAAAAACATTTTAAGACATTTACAGACACTCATAATAATAATACAAAATAAAAGTATATGGAGACATGCTGTTTGATTCTATTTATATGACATTCTGGAAAAGACAAAGTCAAAGGGACAGAGAATAGATCAGTGGCTATCTGGGGCTGGATGTGGGGAGAGAGGAGCCACATAAAGGAAATTTTTGTGGTGATGTAACTGTTATGTCCTTTATTGTCCTAGGCACTTGTCAAAACTCACAGACTGGTACACCAAAAAAGAATGAATTTTACTGCATGTAAATTGAGTGAATAAAAATTAAGGTAAATTTTTAAAGAACACAGAAATCTCACCTATCATATTGGCAAAAAATTCAATACATGCCATCATCAAGGCTGTGGGGAAACATGCACCCTTATACAATGCTGGTGGAAATGCAAAATGGCATATCTACGGAGGTTAAGCTGAAAATATCCAGCAAAACTACATAAGCATTTATCCTCTGATCTAGCAATCCCACTTCTAGGAATCTAATCCAAAAAATAAGAATATATGTGCACAAAATTATTCATTTTAGCACTATTTATAATTGAAATATTCTCAAAAATACCCAAATGTTCAAATACAGGAGACTGATTGAATATACTATGGTACATTGTTGGTTTACAAACTGGACACTGTATATGCAGGGCAAGGAGAGACCAAGGAGAGACTGAGGCAGACCATTCTAAGTTGATAGTTTTTCTAAATTTTTATTTATTTTTTACTTTTAAAGATTTTATTTATTTATTTGTGTGAGAGAGCGCATGCATGAGCATGAGCGGAGTAGGGGCAGAGGGAGAGGGAGAGGGAGAGGGAGAAGCAGGTTCCCCACTGAGTGCGGAGTCTGACCTGGGGCTCAATCCCAGGACCCCGAGATCATGACCTGAGCCAAAGTCAGATGCTTAACAGACTAAACCACCCAGGAGCCCCTAAAATTTTTATTTTTTTTCTTGAAGTATAGTTGACATACAATGTTACATTAGTTTCAAGCGTACGACATAGTGATTTTACAATTCTATACATTATGCACTGCTCACCACAATGAGTGTAATCACCATACCACATTATAAAAATATTATTGACTAAATTCCCTGTGCTGTCCTTATCTCCATGACTTATTTATTTTACAACTGGAAAGTTGTACCTCTTAATCCACTCCACCTATTTCACCCATCCTCCCTCCCTCTGGCAACCACCAGCTTGTATTTATGAGCCTGTTTCTGTTTTTTATTTGTTAATTTATTTTGTTTTTTTTTTTAGATTCCACATATAAGTGAAATCATATGGTATTTGTCTTTCTCTATCTGACTTCTTTTACTTAGTATATACCCTCTAGGCCCATCCATGTTGTCACAAGTATCAAGACTTCATTCTTTTTATGGCTAAGTGATATTCCACTGTGTATAACACACTTTACCCATTTATCTATCTATGGACACTTAGGTTGTGTTTTTAATAAACAAGGGAACTCATGAGGCTTGTCTTGGGGAGCTGCAAAATGACTAGAGATTCCCACCTGCCCACCAGAATCTCAAAAGTTTATATAGAGGCCTTAACTGGATTCAGTCATGTATGCTGTCCAGGTGGTCTCAATAATAACTTACTTTCCCAAGGCTATGTGGTTGGAATAGCTCCCACTTGGGAAAAGTAGGAAGAATGTACATTCCCAGAATGGGGTTTGGGTGAGGAGTATATGATTGCCTGGATCCAGCTGGCAGGTCAACTGGCAGTCGAGTCCTCTTTATTACCTCCTCCAACATACATAAATACCATGGAGTATTTCACAGCTATAAAAAAAAAAGGAATGAGGAAGAGTTGTGTAAATGATATGGGTTTTTAAGATCGATTTTTCAGTGAAAAAAAAACAAAGTACAAAAGAATATACATATTATGCTACATTTGTGTAAAACAGAAGAGGAATTAGGAAAATATACACATATTTGCCCATTTTATGTATGTTGGAGGAGGTAATAAAGAGGACTTGACTGCCAGTTGACCTGCAAAAGGAAACATAGAAAAAGTTAAACCAAAAACTAACAAAGTTGGTTATCTACAGGAGGTGGAGGAAATGGAGTGGAACAGTTATGGGAGGGAATGACACTTCTCTAAGTATACAAGTTTTTATAGTTTTTACTTTTTTTTTTAAGATTTTATTTATTTATTTGAGAGAGAGAGAATGAGAGATAGAGAGCACGAGAGGGAAGTGGGTCAGAGGGAGAAGATGTGGGACTCGATCCCGGGACTCCAGGGTCATGACCCGAGCCGAAGGCAGTCGCTCAACCAACTGAGCCACCCAGGTGCCCTAGTTTTTACTTTTGTAATGATGTAAACATTTCTAAAATAATCCAAATATAAAACCAAATCATTTGGTTTTTCAAGATGAAAAAATTCTAAAGATGAATAAGATGAATAGTGGTGATGATTGTACAAAAATGTAGATGTACTTAATGCTACTAAATTGTACACTTAATAATTATTAATGGTAAATACTATGTTATGTACAATTTTTAAAATAAATTAGAGGGGTACCTGGCTGGCTTAGTTGGTAGAGCATGCAACTTTTGATCTCAGGGTTGTGAGTTTGAGCCCCACATTGGGTATAGAGCTTAGTTAAAAAAATAAATAGATAAAAATTTGAAGGGAATCCTACTGATCACATCTGGGACTCTTGATTACTAAAATAAATCATGATAGTAATGGATTATAACTACTGAATCCACAAATCCATATTGATAATGAACAAATAAATTGGAGAGGGAATAAAATTCCTCCCTACAGTAGAACACCCACTATTATATATAGAAGGAATGATAGAATTAGAAAATCACCATATGAAACTTTCATACTAATAATTAATTTGGGCAAAAATCATCAATGGATACAAAAACTAGTGGGTGAAATTTTGATGAAGAACAGGATGTTCACATAAGTCGATGTACTTTTCACGTTACTTATTTTATTACAAAGGGAAAAAAACAGTAACTTTAGGAACTTGGAAGCCACTCTTTGGATCAAAGGATTAAAGTTGCAATAATGAGACAATAATTGGACATTGTGTGCTTCCTGACAAGATACCCTAAAAAGACACATCTGTTATGTAGTGTTCTTGCCAGAAGTGCATAAACTGAATTTAATTATGAGAAAATATCAAGCACACACAATTTGTGGGAATTTTTATAAAATAACTAGCCTATACTCTTCAGGCTGTGATCCTATGTTGTGGCCTATACTCTTCAAAAATGTTACAGAACACAGACCGGTGGAGTCAGAAGGTCCATTACCCGTTCTTCCACTTACACTCATCACGTATTTACCCACATATTACGAAGTTTTTTGCTATTCTTGCAACTTTTCTCTAAATTTGAAATCATTTCAGGGGCGCCTGAGTGGCTCAGTTGGTTAAGCGACTGCCTTCGGCTCAGGTCATGATCCTGGAGTCCCAGGATCGAGTCCCGCGCCGGGCTCCCTGCTCGGCAGGTAGTCTGCTTCTCCCTCTGACCCTCCCCCCGCCTCACGTGATTTCTCTCTCTCTCTCATTCTCTCTCTCAAAAATAAATAAGTAAAAAAAATCTTTAAAAAAATAAATTTGAAATCATTTCAAAATTAAAAGTTAAACAAATTAGTATACAGTAATAGGAGACAAAAATTAGAGAAGTGAAGGAAGTTCACGGGGCTCAAAAGAACCTGCAAGCCTCTGAAACACCAACTTGAAGCTAGTGCCTTTGATGATTCAGTCTACGATCAGTGTATCAGCTCTCTCCTGTAGAGCCCTAAACCTGGCTCCAAGGCGCGGGTGGGATGGGGAGAGTTTCTCTCATTCTTCACTAAATACCAGCACACCCCATTTACAAAGCGTGAAACTACATTTCCCAAAAAGCCTTTATCTTTCCTGTCCCTAAAGAGAATTACAATTTCTATGGGGTGGTTTTTTTACAGGTCTCGCGAGATTTCATTAATTCTCATTAAAGAGCCCAGCCGAAAGCCATTTTGTTTTTCAGGGCTCTTTGCAAGGAGACTTGGGAGGAAGTTGTAGCAAAGAAGCAGCTACGGTTGCACCGTTGTATCTTCAGCTTCAGAATGTTTCCCATAGTCAGAACCGCTCTAAGTCGTCTCCGAGGTAAGCAAAAATTGTGAGCAAATTATTTCCAACCGCCTTTTACCTATTTATCTTAGTGGTCTCTCCTGCCCTTTCCCTCCACCTGCATCCCTATTTCTAATCCTGAATGCGCAGTCTCCCGCCTCGCCCCAAGTAATTGGGAAGCCATCCTTAGCATTTACTTAATTCTGTTTTGGTTCCCAGCTCACTTTCTGTTACCAGAGTCATAGCATAGCCCTGTTTTTTGTTTTTGCTTTTTTAAATTCACTGACTTATGATTTCAGGGAAGGAGGTTCTTGGTGGACACTGCTCATTCCTTCTAATTTCGTAAATTTTAGCTTTGAGTACGTTTACTCCCAAAGAACTTCTCTCCGATTCCTGTAACTGTAACGGAAGGAAACTGGAAATCTAGCTCTTTCTTTGGTTTCATTGCAAGGAGACAACCCAAGTGGTGGCCCTGCAGCTTTCATGTTGTTTGTTGGTTATTAAATAAATATTAGCTTCTTCGAAAACAATTGTAATTTTTTCTTATCTAAAAGTTTGGCAGGTACAAGGGAATTTTGAGACCAGCCTTATGTATTGAGAATACACTAGATTGGAAAGAGAAAATTCATTTCCGTACTTGATTTGCAGTGAAGGTGACCTTGAGTAATGTGAGCAGTTGTTTTACATTGAAAGTGACCTTAAGCAGTTACCATTTAGCTTCTTTAGCCATCTTTTTATTTTCAGTTTACAGAGTCAGTAGTAGTATTACTAGATTGTGTTCTAAACACTCAGAACAGCTTTGACAGTCACCAAAAAAATAGTTGCCCAACTGGTTTTTTAATATTCCGAAAGCCACATCTGTTATCTCTTTCACTTTGGGCAAATGATTTTTCTCTGAACCACACTTTCCTGCTTTGTAAAACAGGGGCTTAGCAAATAATTACTACCTCAAACAATTGTTGAGGATTATATGAGATTACCAATAGGTGGTAACTAAACCATTTCTTGTTACAGAAGAGAAGTCTAAAGAAATCCACTTGGGTGACCTGAATTTTGAGGTCATGAGATGTTGCAGAATTGTTTGGTAATTTTAATTTATTTGCTCTTTGAGCAGGTAGGGCCTTGTACCCTAGGAAAGGGAATTTTTTGTTTTTTTTTTTAATGTGGAATTCACACTTTTACTTTTTAACTGCTCTAGAGCAGAATATATTGTGAAATGTTTGTAAATTTGCTCATCCCAAGTGTGTCTAAGGGTGAAAAGAAAACCTGTAAGGCAATTAAGAGAAATCATTAATGGTCAAATAACTAGCAGGAAATAACCCATTGTATCACATAGAAGCCATTATATTCTTAAATGCCAGTGAATGGGCAGCGTTGCTGTTTCTTTTTTTTTGTTTTTTAAATATGGCTTCCATTACAGGGGCGCCTGGGTGGCTCAGTCCGTTAAGCTTCCAATCTGTGGTTTCAGCTAGGGATGTGATCTCAAGGGTCTTGGGATCTTACTCAGTGGGGAGTCTGTTTCTCTCCCTGCTCTTTCTCTCAGATAAATAAATCTTAAAAAGATACATGCTTTCCATTACATAAATACCATTTGAGGCTCTAAAACAATAAGGATTGGGGCGCCTGGGTGGCTCAGTGGGTTAAGCATGTGCTTTCGGCTCAGGTCATACGCGTCTGGTTCCCCGTTCCTTGCTCAGTGGGGGTACTCTCCTTCTCCCTCTGTGCCCCCCATGCCTTCTCTCTCTCTCAAATAAAATCTTTAAAAAAAATAAAACAGGATCTGTTACTTAGGAAGGAAAAAAAAATTTGGAAATACGCATTTTGCAGTCTTGGCTCTTTGCCGAGCTCTCTTAAGCGCCTCTAGAGCAGTTTGGGAACTCATTCTACTAAAGTTATAGTAAAGCAAAGTTTTAATGTTATTCTGCTCAAAAACCTTTGCCTCTACCAAAAAAGTGGCCCTCCATTATCCTGTCTAGTTTTGTCCCTATTGCTTGTCTGTACACCTCATCCTTAAACCAAACATAATTTGTTTTCTAGAACACGGGGCTTTTTTTTCTCTGCTTTTTTTCAGATTTCCCTTTCCTACATCTACATAACCAAATCCTACCTGCTGTTCAGAGTGCTTAATCTACTTTTTGTATTACAGCGATTTGTGTATACATGTCTCATATCCTTCTCTAGATTGGAGGTTACTTGAAGACGGGGTCTGTGTCTTACACATTTTCGTGTACTGTATTTCTTTTAGCATAATGTTGTACTCATTAGTAATTATTTATTTTTTAAAAGATTTTATTTATTAGAGAGAGAGAGAAGCAGACTCCCCGCTGAGCAGGGAGCCCGACCTGGGACTGAGTCCTAGGACCATGACCTGAGCTGAAGGCAGACACTTAACCGACCGAGCCACCCAGGCGCCCTCATTAATAATTTTCAAAAAAAAAAAATCAACATTACTCTAGTTTTTGGAGGGTTTTTTTTTTTGTAATTTTAAGGTCATAAACATTTGGTATGCTTTAATTTGAAATTCATTTTGAGTTTACCCTTTTATGTTGTAAGTTGCTGAGCACTACAGAGTAAACTAGTGAAAATTTAAGTCCTAGATATTCAAATTAATGAATAGGAGCCAAGTTCCAGAGGTTTGTAGTGAATGTTACTGGCATCACCTGTTCTGTTTTATCCCCCAAGATATTATTATGAAAACTTTAAGACATAGAGAAAATTTGGAAGAATTGTATGATAAACACACAACTGCACTGCATAGATACAATTAACATTTTGATATATTTGTTTTCTCACATATCTATATATGTGTCAAATTATATTATTTTTGATGCATTTAAAGTATACTACTTTGCTTTCTGCTACAATGTTTTAACATTGTATTGAACCGCAAAGTACTATAAAGTTAACATCCGTTGCTTTCCTGATTAGCAGTATCAATTACATGTTCTTTTTTCCTTATAATTGATATGCTTCTGTATTCCTTTTTTTTCTTTAAGTTCAAAGCATTCCACAAACAATGGCAAGGCAGAGCCACCAGAAAAGGACACCTGATTTCCATGACAAATATGGTAATGCCGTACTAGCTAGTGGAGCCACTTTCTGTATTGCTGTATGGGCATATGTAAGTACTGTTGACTGATAATTTTCTATATTAGATGTTTTCCATTCCTACTTATTTTATGTATTCAAAATGATTTCACAGAGTAGTATACATTTTTAGTTAGGAGGGACTTCAGAGATTTTCTGATGTAATTACCCACCCAGTGCAGGAATTTCTTCCATAGCTTTAAGCATTCACATTCTACCCATCATTTTCTTTCTTTCTTTCTTTTTTTTTTTAAGTAATCTGTACACCCAACACGGGTTTGAACTCCCAACCCTGAAATCAGGAGTTACACGCTCCACCAACTGAGCAAGCCAGGTGCACTACCCATCATTTTCTTGCAACAAGAAATTCTGATCCCATTTCCATGTATCAACCATTAGATACTAGAAACCAAAGATACTAGAAAAATTAGATACTAGTTTCCTGGATCTTCTCTTTCAGATTAAACATCCTTAGTTCTGTTAATCACTTTTTGTTACATGGTTTCCAGGGTTTTCACCATCTTGGGTCACATTCCTTCACTTAATCAGTTTCTTTTCTAAAATTCTCCCAGAACGGAGTACAACATTTCTGATGGTTGAGATGTACAGTGACTTGATTTCATTATTCTAGTTTTTTACATCTTACATTTAACAATCTTCTTACCAGTTGATGTACTTATTGGTTAAAAGGATAAATATATAAGTTGTTCTTAAAAGATACCTATTAACCTTGCCTTAATAAACAAAAATATTTATTAGTGGGGCTTTTCATTCTTGTTTTAACCTGAAATATACTGTCAAAATAGGTGTGTGTACTTAATTAGAAGAGTAATTAGATGTTGAACAAATGTGTGATCAGGGGCACTTTTGGAGGTGGTGTTCCTTGATGAAAGGATATTATGAAAGTGCTCTTTGGCAGTACTTAGGTAGTTGTGGTTGAGTGAAGCAGTGTTTGAGGAGGTACTAGAGAAATGTGAAGTAAAAATTTGAATTAATGAAAATTGCTCAGTCATACTAGCCACATTTCAGTTGCTCAATAGCCATATGTGGCTATTGTGTTAGTGAAGATCTAGACATTTCTTGCATCTCAGGAAGTTCTGTTGAACAGTACTGGTCTAGAGAATTAGGACAGCAATTAGCTTTGGCCTACGTGGAGGTGGCACTATATCCCAGCTGGATTTCTGTGTGTTTTTAACCTGTAGAGTAGAATACCTTTGTCACTTTTAAGAAATAGTCTCCAAGGGAGAGTGGACTCTGGTTTAAACATTTATAACTAATAGCATTTTAATTTTTACAGACAGCAACACAAATTGGAATAGAGTGGAACCTGTCCCCTGTTGGCAGAGTCACCCCAAAGGAATGGAGAGATCAGTAAACATCCCAGTTGGTGTAATACTGAATTGTTGCAAAACCAACTCATAATTGATGCCAAGTAAAAGCACTGTGCACCCATTAAAGTATGGCATGGTTGAAGAAATAAAGTACATTTGAAACCTTCGTTGTCGGTTTATTTCTTTTGTAATGAAACCAAGCTTGATCACTTTTCATTTAATCTTAGTGTTACTATTTAAGTGAGATGCTTTATAATTTCTTAAATGATTTTTCTTTTTTAAAGATTTTATTTATTTGACAGACCAGCAAGAGAGGGAACACAAGCAGGGGGAGTGGGAGAGGGAGAAGCAGGCTTCCTGTGGAGCAGGGAGCCCGCTGCGGGGCTCGATGCCAGGACCCTGGAATCATGACCTGAGCCGAAGGCAGGTGCTTAACGACTGAGCCACCCAGGTGCCCCTTAAATAATTTTTCTTTCTGAGGTAGTATGAAAGTAAAATTTGGCTGTCACCTGGAAGTCAACTTTATAGTAAGCTAAAATTACAGTTCATAAATAACTAATCACAGAGTTATTCTAGATCATCTTTTGAGTATCCAGATATTGATTATGCCTACTACATTTCATTTCTAATTTATGTTTATATTTGTAATTGGTATTAAGTTGTTTTTACTCCTTCTAAGAGAACTTGGGGTGTCACCAGACCCAAGGGAAGAGTGGTCCTATCAAATGAACTCTTAGGATGTCTGAAGATTAGCTAGCTCCTTGGCTCCTTTGGCATATTAATCTTAGAGCTTTGGGTCTTTTCATTATATTTATTTAGGATGTATTAACGAAAGGATCTGTCAAAAATAGTTTTATTTTCACTTATCCAGCTATCGGTGGTGACCTCTGCTGTTGACTTTCTGTAATTATACCAACTTTTTGATGCATGTATTATCCTGAATTCAATATGACTTTGGATTTTATATGTAAGATGCTAACTGAAGAAAACATCTACACCATGTACTTCAGTACTTCCTTGGCTAAAGGTGTAAAAAGGCTCATTTGTTGATAGTGCTCAAATAAGCAGAAAATGAAATTTCAGTGGAGTAATCTGTTAGCTAAATTAGAGATTCCTAAATTCACTTACCTATACAGTAAGTTTTCAGGTAAATGGGTTTTAGGACTCCAAATTTACCTGATGCAGATAAGGATTTATGCATAACCAAACATTTGAAAAATTTTTACTTATTACATGAAATACTAGAGGAATGCTCTCATGGCATTATGTCCTGTTTTCTCATTAAATGCATCAAAGCTAGTAAGTAATTTCATTGAGTAGGAAAAGTAAGTTCAATGTCCCTGCAAAATAAGTCTGTTGCAAGATTAGTAACTACATGAGTGCCCGTATTTGATAAAATTTGAATGAACACTTTGTATCATACTTAGAAAGCATGTTAAAATAGTGAAGTGTACAAATGCATGTAACCCTGAGATGTGATTAAGCAAAATAAACACTTGTCTTTAAGGAAGTTTCAATGTTCCATTAGATTATTTACCTTTTTATTTTTGAATTGGCATTCCTGACGACTACAGGTAATTTTCAATATGATTTGTACCACTTCTGTCAGGTAAGTGATAATTGTCAGCTATTATAGGCAATAAAATAGGACCTTTAAAAATGTCTATTTGTCCATTTGCCAGCATATATATTGCTTTGTGTGATAAAACCTGGTGGTGGTGGTTGGCATTTTTGAACAGGCTTTTAAAGCTTAATTTTGTAGTTACCTGATGAGTAATTCTAAAACTACCTCAGCCACTACCAGAAATGAAGCAGTAGTGTAAGTCTAAATTAGTTTCATCAGTGTTCTGACCTTGCAGCTTTCCTAATGTACTGAGAGTCAAAGTTTTATCCTTTTACAAATGCACTCAATTTATCCCAAAACACATCGAGTGTTTTAATATCTAGAGTGGGAAGGTTGTCAAGTTAGTCTTCCTATCAAAAATACGTACATTTGAAGAATTTAGGTAAGTGACTTCAGAAGCATAGCCAGTCCTTGAAATGTTATTTGTTGGAGGGCTATGAAGTATTTTTTTAAAATTAGGGTGAATGTCATAAATCCCATTCTTACTTAAATGTAAGTTATGTTACTATGTGTTTTCTTTTCTTTTAAATTCATTAAACTGGGGCGCCTGGATGGCTCAGTCGGTTGGGCATCTGGCTCTTAGTTTCCACTTGGGTCGTGATCTCAGGGTTGTGAGATTAAGCGCCAAGTCGTGCTCTGTGCTCAGTGGTAAGCTTGAGGATTCTCTCCCCTCTGCCCCTCCTCAGGCTCGCTTGTGTGCTCACTCTCTCATATTTTAAAAAAATAAATTCATTAAACTTACTTAGAACTAGGTACTATAGTAATTGTAGAGGCACAGATAATGAGTTCTCACCCTTGTGACTTTATTGGGGATATTAATACCACTTTATAAGCATTTTGGGGGCACCTACTATGCTCAACACCAGAAAACCTGATTACTTGACATTCCCTTCTATTTGAAAGCCCTTTAGGTAATAGAGTATACACAACTCTTGGTATGCTTGTGCATTGATAAGGGGGTTTAGGGATGATGCATTTAGAGATGTGAAGTGTTTCAGAGTGAGGGAAAGTTTCAATGACTAAGGATGTATGTAATAAATAGTCTTGCAGCTCATAATCTACATAAAAATTTAGCTGGTAAATTTGAAACTGACGAAGGTTTATGGTTTCTGACTTAGTGAATTTCTTTGAAAGCTTAATATTGTAAGAAGATTGTTAAATGTAAGATGTAAAAAACTAAAATAATGAAAACAAGTCACTGTCAACTTGCTAATAATTGGAAGCCCACTTAAAAGCCATCTTAATTTCATGTGATGTGATTTTTAAAAAGATTATATTTATTAGCGTGCGCGCGTGCACAAGCAGGGAGTGGGGCAGAGGGATAGGGAGAGGCATGCTCCTTGTTGAGTAGAGAAGCCCAACGTGGGGCTGGATCCCAGGACCCTGAGATCATGACCTGAGCTGAAGGCATATGTTTAACTGACTGAGCCACCCAGGTGTACCCGTGTGATGTGATTTTTAAAAGATTTTAAATTTGGGGTTGAATTTGTGACTTAAGTTTGTGCACATTGATTGACAGTTAACTTAATGGCTGGGAAGTTTAGTAGTCTTGATACTTATGTGGATGAGAATAGATGGGGAAGGAATAATTCTTTCTGAAATAATTATAGGCCTAAAATCTAGATCTGTGGTCAATTTTAAAAGTTGCCTGTCAAGGCTTAATAGGAATTTGACAACAGGTGGGATATAATTGGTTTACTTAACACTTAAATATGGTTAGTGTGGGGTGCCTGGGTGGCTCAGTTGGTTGAGCGGCTGCCTTCGGCTCAGGTCATGATCCTGGAGTCCCGGGATCGGGTCCCACATCGGGCTCCCTGCTGAGCGGGGAGTCTGCTTCTCCCTCTGACCCTCCCCCCTCTCGTGTACTCTCTCTCTCTCATTCTCACTCTCAAAATAAAAAATAAATCTTAAAAAAATCAAATAAATAAAATACTTAAAAAATATGGTTAGCGTGTGCCACTTCTCTAAGCCTTTTACAAATATTTAATATTTATACTTCGTGTATTATTTTAGTTTGGCAACATTATTAGACTTGGGGGCGCCTGGGGCGTCTGCCTTAGGCTCAGGTCACGACTTCAGGGTCCTGGGATCCAGCCCTGCTCAGCGGGGAGTCGGCTTCTCCTCCCTCTCCCTCTGCCCTTCCCCCTGCTCGTGCACGCGCGTTCTCCCTCTCTCAAAATCTACATAAAAAAGACTTGATACTTTATTTTTAAAGATTTTACTTATTTGGGGCGCCTGGGTGGCTCAGTTGGTTAAGCGACTGCCTTTGGCTCAGGTCATGATCCTGGAGTCCCGGGATCGAGTCCCGCATCAGGCTCCCTGCTCAGCGGGGAGTCTGCTTCTCCCTCTGACCCCCTTCCCTCTCGTGCTTTCTAACTCTCATTCTCTCTCTCTCTCAAATAAATAAATAAAATCTTTAAAAAAATTTTTTACTTATTTGACAGAGACAGTGAAAGAGGGAACACAAGCAGAGGGAGTGGGAGAGGGAGAAGCAGGCTTCCCGCCGAGCAGGAGTCCAATGTGGGGCTCGAACTCAGGACCCTAGGATCATGACCTGAGCCAAAGGCCGACTCTTAACGACTGAGCCACCCAGGCGCCCCGACTTGATACTTTTCTGATGGGAACTGGGTTCAACCGGTTCCAGCTGGAAATATAGTTAATTAATTTCCCCATACATCTCATGACAGATATTCAATGAAAGGAAATATGAAAAGACCACACCTCACTTTGAATTTAGTGAGATGGAGCCTGTTCCTCTTACTGTTAATATTGTTTTAAAAATCTTAGGATTTTGCTATTTTTTTAAAATGAAAATGGGGAAACAGGATTAAAAATACACTTTTCTCAAATGCTTTCTGTATCATTTATTGCATCGTATACATTTTATGCATCTCATTTCTTTCTAAACTCATGGTGGTAGATACTCTAATATTCTTTGCATCCTTGAAATCCGCTAGGTTTTTAAGATGATGGACAAGTGAATGGATAAATGGTCAAGTAGTTCAAAGTTTTAGATTGGCGATATGAAGGTAGTGTGAGGTGAGATGCCTGCCCCAACTCCAACACATGCATAAAGATTATGAATTTAAAAGCATGAATAAAAAATTTTTTTTGAGATAATTTTTGAATGGAGGGACGAGTGCAAGTTCATAGTTATGGCATTTGTATCTGGAGTTAGGCTACACAGTAACAGAACCACGTTAATTTCATGCTGGGAAGGGCTGAATTAAGCAGATGATTTACAAAGAGGTCTATGGAACTCCATGGTTGGAGGTTAGGAAACTACAGATGACACAGGTTTTGGTGGGATTTTGTTTTGTTTTTGGTCATGGGAGGAAGGACGGTTCTCTGCGGCGCCAAAACTTCCACCCGAGGGTGCGTGTCAACCCAGGGGCAGCAGGGGGCGGGAGAAGCTCAACTCTGGGGCTCGCGTCCCTCTTCACGTGACGCGTCCCTCTCTTTGCATCTCAGGCCCTGCTTCCGGCCTGGGCGTCACCCGGAAGTGGGGGGAGTGAGGAAAGGACGGGTAAAGGCCGCAGGCCC